ATATTAAGTTTATTTAGGAGAAAATGCGATTTATACGGTAAATAAATAATGTAATTATATAGAATATAAGATTAAACTTTAAAAAAAGTATTCAAAATCTCTATACTGTACTTAGAATACATGTAAAAGTTATTTAAAATACTGTAATGTATTCGGAACATTACCAAAGTCTGCTATTTGACAATAATTCCAATGGATTATATAAAGCTCCTTCTGGCCCCTTCCTTAAATCCGCCACTGGTGTTACTGCCAACCTTAGGGCTTAGACTTTATACGGCCGATTTTTAAGGGGTTTGAGATAGATAAATTACAATACTCTCGAACATATTGATTATCTACTTTGGACCCCAGGATTTTATTTACCGGAATTATACGTTCCGAACATATACAGTTTTCAAATTTTTGATTCCGGTGATATATGGTCCGGATAAATACGTTCCGGAATTAATATGCTCCGCCAATTTATTTTCCGGAATTGTACGGCCTTCCTATACAATACATACTTTCTATGATTTGCATATGCTTGCACTCAGACTATTAATTCACAAAATTCACTTTTTTAAAATCAAAATGAAAAGTTGATTAAGCTAATGATAGTTGTAATAATAATATCGACTAATCGACTAATCGACTATCAGTATCGAAAAAAAAACAATTTTTATTAAAAAAAATTTCGACTATTGACCATGTCAGTAAATACATTTAATATACATGTAATTTAGAAAAAAACAATTTTTAATCAAGCTAACGATGATAATTTGTTGACAGTCCTAAAGCTTGTAATAATTGGGGAAAAAATTGTAAATTAATAGGTAAAAAGTTTGGGTGCATGTATAAGAAAATTATTGGTAGAATGTATGTATTGTATTAGTGACGCACACAAGATTTTTTTTCGGTGGGAGGGGGGTTTAAGGTAAAAATATAACACATTTTACAATTAACAAAATTATGCAAATCCTTAATATATTTTGATTTTAATAATAGCATTGATAATAGAATAGACTATTCTATAATCAATGATAATAGGTATTCAATACTAGCTCTTCATATTTTTAACTTGTAAAATTTGTAAATTTTAACCTAGACATCAGAGAAAATTTCGGGGAGGGGAGTTATAACCCCTTATCCCCCTTCTGCATGCACCACTGTATTGTTTACATTATTTTATGTTGTATATAAATTATTATACATGGTATATACAAATATAGTTTGATGCGCAATGATGTTGTGATTTTATCTGGTAAAAAGGGATCGTGGCGCAATCGTATTGCAAATTTTTTGCTCAATCGTGGTGTAATTAGTCGTGTCAAAAAAGGAAAAATTGCGCAATCGTGTTGCAGCCATATCGAGACAGTTACCCACAGTTGTTTTTTAACGTCAGGGATTTTAAAATTCGTTCGAAAGGCGTTGGATCGGCTTTCATACATACAGTACATACTATACCTTAAAGTATGCGGAACGTATACCGGGTCTCGTTCTATTCGTTCGATGTGACCGTTCTGTCGTCACTAGTATTTCTTGCGCCGCATTCGGGTCCACCCAGCAGACGAGTTTTGCGATCTTCACAGAAGCGTTATCGGTACACCGATACTCGTCGCGAAAAATTGATTCAGTGTTATATACGTGTATCTGCTGTCGTCGAACAGACACACCGCGTTGTAGTGCACGGTCAAAGCTCCGACGATTTAAAATGCAGCCGAATAAAAGCTAATCAAAGAGATCGATCGAGCTTGATCGGTAAACGATGTAAAGTGCACGCGCGCGATCAAGAACGGACATCACAGACAATGGATACCATTAGATAACCCTAGGTTCGTCCGCGGTGGGGATCGGATGGCACGATGATAACGTTAGACGATAAACGTGGCAGCGTTGGATCAAAAGTTAATCGGATTTAACGGACCAATGGACCGTTTAAATACTTTTAAGAGTTATTTTAAGTAAAGTTAAGATAACACCGTTATCGTAATGCTATTACATAAAGGATTGTCTTCCGGGAGAACGGGAACGTTTCAGCATTGATTATAGAATAGATTAATTATCTATTTTATAATCAATGGTTTCAGGTAACTCTTGCAGTAATACGATATATATCGATTTACAAAATATTTTATTATTGAAAACAAAATCTACGTTACAATAATATGTAGTAGAATTGGACGAGTATTGTTTTTTGATGTCGAGGTTGAGTCGAGTTTCAATTATTTCGAGTCGAATGGAGTTTGACATTCGAATACTCGACAAATGCCGAGTACTAGGAAACATGTCGAGTAGTTATAAACTTTCGAGTGATCGAGAAAAATGTCTCGATAGTCAAATATTCGGATTAATTCGAGTAAAATTGAATACTAATATTAACGAGTGCAAACATTATTTTTGTAGAGTCGAATCGAGTACTCATTCATCTCTAATATGTTGTTTTAAGACTTCTAACATCCAAGAAAATCATATTTTAAAATGTACGTTCGTTATAGACGTTGTCCATTTGTACGCGTAAACGTTCCCGAAATGGAAATGTGTGACATAACCAAGTTGTCAACAGAACTGAAATACAATTTTTTTTTCACTGAACTGTAATTGCCTCGCAATTTATAGATATAGATATTTTGGATTTTGGAAGTGATAGAAAGAGCCGCGTGCACTATGTCAGCGTTTGTTTGCGGGAACTTATATGCTTATAGAACTAAATACCATCATACAGACATTAATTTTAAAACGTGATATTTTTAACCTACGGGGTCTTTATTGTGACATTCTGACTTATGTTTTAAATAAAAAACTTTACAAAAAAATATTTAAAATAAAAAAGATGAAAATACGTTATTCAGTGAGAGTTATTTAACATTTTCGTTTTTTTAGAAGACTGTAACTAATGCAATGGCGAAGCTACTCATTATTAGTTAAAGATTAATTAAAGAAATTACCTAAAATTAACGATTTCATTTATGTGAATAAAACGTTTGTGTAAATTAAGTATATATTATACACTCACACAGGCACGTACACAAAAAAAATATTTTGGGAGGGGTTTTAGGTTGTATATTTTCAAGATTATATAATCTATATACCACTTTTATTATATAAAATAATATTTAATCATTTTCCTGAATTTCGGGAGGGCTTTGAACTCCTAAAATCCCTCTTTGTGTACGCATCTGCACTCAATGGTAGTAAGAAGACCTCCTCTCGATGTAATTGCTGAAAAGTAGATATGTGTACTGCAATTATACTTTATTGCGTTTTCATAGCTTGTATTGAATATATATCGCAATTAAATATTCCGATTTCCAAATAAACAAAGAGCTAAATGCAGATCCTACATTTATTAACTCGATAAAATTATCAATCTTTTCGCAGAGACACAAAATAAAAAAAATAGATGTAACTTACAATGTGAAATGAATCATATCATATGAGTATTAAATACGTTAGAAATTATTATAGTGTATTAATAAAAACAGTTATACCTAACTAAATATTACCGTCTGATTTATTTCTTTAAATTTTGTCTCTTCTAATCCAAGACTAAAGCATTGCCACCAGTGTCGGATTACCCATTAGGCGGAGAAGGCGTCCGCTTTAGGGCTTCACTCATTTAAGGAGCTCCGTGAAAACGGAAAACTATATTTTTTTTCTATTTGATAATACCTGTATTCTATTTACGAATTTACGGGACAAAAGTCACTATGAAATATATATTAATTTTTTAGTGTTATATGCAGTAATAATAATTAAATTATTTCGAAAAAAATAAAAATAATATAATAATTAATTCATTTTTCTGACAAATATAAAAATTTAATAAACATGATTTTATTTATTAATTTTAGTCAGTTATTTTTAAAGCTGTTAATTTTAATTATTGGATAACTCAAGTTAAAATTAAAGATGTACATAAAAAATAATTTTGTAGGACCCAAAATTTTAATTGCTTAGGGGCCCACAAATGTTTAATCGGGCACTCATCGTCACTGATGTATGCCAATGTATGCGCAATGATCGTATCACGATCATCTACGTACGTATAAGTTGCCCATCATCACGTGTGCTCTAACTTAATCGTCGATTATTCCATACACATTAGATCTGTTAACTCTAATGCAAAGGTTTTTTTTGTCGATTTTTTTTTTAGCCACAGCCAGTTAACGCTACAACCTTGACACTCCGCCGATTGACACAAGCGTTACTTTGTACAGGTTTCCGCGTTCGATTCACGCAATTTCGTAATGGGCCAAATGGCGACGGGGGTGGGGATGTCACGAGCACTCACTCGTCGACACGTACACACACATCACATGTAAACAGTAGTGGCTAGTTGACGATTACAAAAATAAAAAGTTGGCATTCGCCGAAAGAAATAAGTCGTTGATTTCATTAACCACGGCCCTGTACGAATATTACACCCAACGGTCCTGATCCCGCCGACCCATAAATGGCCCGAGATAGGCCAATTGTTCAACGTGCTCCGTATGAATAATCGTTAGCGACTTTAAGGCGCTAAAAATTAGATATTTTCGATGAGAATTGATGGAAAAAACATAGACCACTCTCAAGTATAGTCGTTGCCAGATAAATTGAGACGGCGGCGGCGGCGCTTTTCATTAAGTGTAGCCCAAACTAGTCGCTGGTAGTTTGGTGCTAAGGTCTCACAGTCAGCTACGACGCGCGCAGTAACCAGTTCGAACCCGGTTCAGTGCAAAAAATTATTTGCAGAATTTTCTGTACTCTCCCGTTCTGGTTGCCCTACACTGCTAAAAACAACTAACCTAACCCGGTGTGTTTTGACCGCGCAAGCACTTCAGTCGTATTAACAATATTTGTTTATTATAAATGTATAAAAATAAATGACTCGGCTAACCAATGACAATATTAATTATTAATAGATCTCGACATTATGGAATATACTAATAGAGATGGATATTTACTCATTCGTGCCAGTATTGTGTTCGTGTTCATTTGTACTGAAAACATACGCTATATAATAAATATTTTTTTTTATAATGAGTTCAAAAATTAAAAATGGTAAAGCTAACAGTCAAGCTAGGGAAATAATTTGGAATGTTTTTAATTATTTTAAAGATAAAAATGAATACATGGCTAACTGTAGGTTGTATACGATGACTGCAGAAGCTACTGGTTATTCTACGATGTCAGTTAAACGTATTGTGTATGAAGGTAAGAAAAACATGGATTTAACTGGAAATTCTACATTGGCTACATTTACCACTCCTGATAAAAAAAGGAATAATGTGACAAAAATTAAAGCTTTAGTTGACGATTTCGATAGATGTGCTTTAAAGCGAACCATCACAGATATGTATACGGTTGATAAAATTGTACCTACTGTTAAACTTATTTTTGAAAAACAAAAACAATTTATGAATTTGGGGAGTACTAGAACATTAAACAGAATAATTTCGGAAATGGGCTTCAAATTTCGTAAAACTGAAACTAATAGAAAATTGTTGATAGAAAAACATAATATACGTTTGAAAAGAATAGAATACTTAAAAAAAATACTTGATTTTCGTAGACAAGGTAGAAAAATAGTGTATACTGACGAAAGTTATGTATTATCATCACATGTTGCTAATAAATCATGGAGTTCCGTCGATGATGACAATACAGTGAAACAAAGTTTAAGTAAAGGAAAACGTTTAATAATTATTCATGCTGGAGGAGAAGAAGGTTTTGTTCCTAATGCTTTACTAACATGGGAAGCTCAAAGCTCTAGTGGTGATTACCACGATAATATGAATAAAGATAATTATTATAAATGGGTCACAGAAAAATTACTACCAAATTTAAGGAAAAATTCTGTTGTGGTATTGGATAATGCGACTTATCATTGTCATCAATCTAACCGTGCTCCAAGCTCAAATAGCTTAAAAAAAGACATGGTAAATTGGTTGACTGAAAATAATATAAGTTTTAATTCAACTATGTTTAAACCACAACTTTACGATATAATACGTAAACACAAACAAGTGCTTGTTAAATATTCTTTAGATGGTATATTAAGTAAAGAAGGCCATGATATTATTAGACTACCACCGTATCATCCGGATTTAAATCCCATTGAAATGATTTGGTCACAAGTAAAACAGTACATTGCAAAACAAAATCATAATGGTAGCATCAAAAAAATCGCAGAACTGTGTAAACAAAAAATGGAATCTATGGGTGATTCTGAGTGGGGAGCAGTTTGTGCAAACGTGAAAAAATTAGAAGAAGAAATGTGGAAAAATGAAAGTTTTATGGACATCGAAATGGATAAATTAACAGTAACGTACGGAGATGATACAACTAACGATAGTGATACAAGTACTGAAGATGAAGACGATGATTTGGGTGTAGCACCACTACAGCCATAACAAACTATTGTTATGTATATTAAAATGGTTATTTATAATATTATAATGCATATAGATGTTATTATTATTTCATCATATTATTATTAATATTATGTATTATTATTATTATTATTATTATTATTATTATTATTATATTAATTATATTATTTTACAATTTTTACTTTTTGTTCTTAAATAAAAGATTATTATCGAAATATTTGATTTTAAATTAATATCGTAAAATATTTTTTGTAACAATAGTTGGTTTATTGATGTATTTTCGGTAATAATATTGAAATACGGAGAACCACTGGTTTTCCGTTATCGCGCCGCCGCCGCCGTCTCAATTTATCTAGCAACGACTGTACTTGCATTTTTTCTACTAGATAATTACAATACTAAGTATTTTTCTTGTCAAACAATTTATATTCAGTTTCAATGGATCGATTTACTTATAATTTCCATAATAACCGAGTTGTAACCAAATTAACCAAATTAACAAACTATAACTTCCCATATTATAGACCATAATATGTACAGTGTATTGTACATTGTACACCCTTTCTTATTGTAACCGCGCGTGATTCCTAATTATATTCATACCTGTTTTAGTCTAAGGAGGACAAAACTTGAACTTGACGACAAGAATTCGTTGTACATTCTCTTTGTAAATTCTTATTCGAACAAGTATAACATTCATCGATAATTTTAGGCATTTAAATTTATAACATTTTCATTTTTAAGGCATTTTAATTGATCCGTTTTCGAAAATAAATAATTTTTTACTTGCGTTTTATGTTTATAAGTTTATGATTTTATACTTTTTGTAAATACTTCGGTTCAATTTCGGTTACTTTTTGTAAGAATAAGCTAAATATAGACATCGCCCCAACGTTTTTATATGAACGCTCAGCATATAATTATTATGTCATGTTGTTTTTTCAAATAGTTTTTTGAGTACTACAGCGTTAATAATTTTTAATCAAAAATGGCTTGACGTGTTCACGAAAAAGGTATGTTTACATATTATGCAACTGTATATGCATTAAAAAATATGTACATTTAAACACGCATGTGTGGAATTTATTGTACCCATTTTTACGGATTTAAATATAGACTGAGACTTATTTAGGAATATTGTGTCTCAGGTAAGAAAAAAAATGCCCCCTTCTAACCTAAATTTCTTCAACAATATGTGTATTTGTAAAAAAATAACGAGTACATAAACTTTTAAATGTTAAAAATTAAGATTATTATTATTATTCATTTTTATTTATGTCATATTTTTTGATTTTGTCATAATTATTTCCTCTAATAGATATCATTCTTTCGTGCATATTTTCGATACAAACAATTTTCTATGTTTCACTTCCGTCAGACATTCCGCGAAGGTTCGGTTTTTTTTTATTATCAGATTTTAAACAGGTGCATGACATATTACTAGGCTTAGGGACTAAAAAATACACAAATATGCATGCAAATATACTTCTAAAATCATTAAAATATGCATTATAATTTGCATTTATATGCATTAAAAAAAAAATTGACCATATGGTACACCAGGGCATTATCCGAATAAAATATTATTCAATTGATTATTTGAATAAAAAATTATTCTTCATTGATTTATTCTTAATTTTATTATTGATTTTTATTTTTATTCATTATTTTAATTTGTATTATTATTACTATATTTTATTCATTATTCAGTTATTCGTTATTCCCTATAATTATATAAATAATAAATTTAAATCCTAAATAACGATGTATAATAATAATAGACTTATTATTTAGACTTAAATAATATATATAAAGGTAATGCATATTAATACATACAATAATTGACAAAAATAAATTAAATATATTTTTATATTTAATTAATATCATTCATGATTTTAACAAATAAATTATTCCGAATAATTGTTTTATTCACGAATAAAACTATTCAAAATAATTTTATTTTTTATTCAGTACACCAAAATTATTTAAAATAAAAAATTATTCTTTATTCATAAATAAATTAGTTATTTATGCTTTTATTTTTTATTCTTTATTTTGATTTGTTTTTGCCCAACTCTGTAGTACACAAAATAAAACGTGTCCATCGGATGTAAATGAATCTTTAAATTCTGAAACAAAACATTGTAATCGGCTACTTATAGACTGTTGTACTTTCGGTAATACACAATGTTACAAAATATACGCGTACAACGTTTTACGTATGATTCGATGTTGTGTGGTTGCGAGACGCAAATACAACGACAGATAATGACCGATTGAACTGAACACTAAACAAATAATCTATTATTCTATATCGACATCCGGTCAATATCCAGCGGGTTATACAGGGTTATGTATTATTTATACTTGCACAAAAATTATAACGAAATATGAGAGGTAGTTTGCAGATACCATATTACTGAAAGTATTAAATCCTCTTAGTAAATTTTTTTTTCGATCGATTGAAATATGTATATATGTTATAAGTATCTATAGTTTTTAATTTTAATAATAATAAAATTTGAAAAATTTGTCAAAATATGCAAAATAAGCATAACAATTTTAAAATATGCACTCTCCTGCAAAATCTATCAAATTTGCAAAAATATGCACATTCAAATTTTATATCTGATATCATGGCACCGAGAAACGAATTTATTTCACACTCTGTTATATTTAACAATAATTAAAAAAAGTATGTAAATTCTAGAAGTCTCTAAGCTTACATATTACCCATTACACCAAACGGTGTTCCTAAATACTCACGTGTACGGAAAAACGTCTGTGAACTACGCGCGCGGCGATCGTAATAATTGCTCGTTCTTTTTTTTCCTAGTTTTTTTTCTTCTGTTTTTTCGGTTCCTCGTCATTTACACACGGCCGTATGAGCACGTAAATGCAGTGTTCTACTAATAGATCAGCTTATATAATATTAGTAAAATATACTAATAGTCCATTTCGACGGGCATCCTGAGCTCTTCATTAACACCGCCGCAGCCGTGATTGATGCCGGGATGATTTGTAAACAAAATTACACTGACAGCGGCGGGGTGCTGTTGTGGAAGAAAAGATTTTGTATTTTTCGGCTAGTTAGAACACGCACAGTAAATACATACATATGTATACATTATTATTATTATTATTATTGTTATTATTATTATTATACTGCACACGTGTTTGAGCGTTTCTCTGAACAGAACGCGTACACAAACACATTAATCATTGAAGAGGAGAAGAAGACGGACGAAAAAAATAAATGAATAAAAAACTAAACGTTCGTATTTGTACAGGACATCACCACTCGCACGAGTTTCATTTGCATGTCTTCGCGGCGACCAACAATGCACGTTTAATTGTGATCCGAGGTTACAGGAGGGGGGAGGAGAGGGAACGGTCACGCGTACACCTAAAAAAACGCTAACGTTTTGAGTCATCAAACAACGGGTCAGCCGAATACCACGGCGGCGTTGCTTTCTAAACGTGCCGTTAATGATTATTATTTTTTTCGTTTTCCTGCGTTCAAGGTCTCCCACCCCCGCATCGCAACCTCGTCGTTTGCACTCGCGACGTACATTCGTCGTGTAAATAATAACTTACACCAGGGGCACGGTCGCATTAGCCCAGATCAGTTTTGGACCCGAACCAATGTGACGAACGAGGAAGAGGTTTAAAATTAATATTGATTATTAAATAAATACATTTCAAACATTCTAAAACTCCGAAGAACTCCGAACACAAACGGTTTTTTGTTTTGTTTTGTGTAGATCGGGAAGAGCAACCCTGTTGATGCGAACGGTGCCAAGCGTTTTGTCGACGTGAATTTTTAACACGAGTGTTTTCGCACGTCAAAACGAAAATCGTGAGCGTGGTGGCGAATTCCAGTCATGGGTTGATGGGGATTTCTTTGCCGTTCTCACGGAAAAACACTTGACAAGTAATACGGCGTATTAGAACACATGTGTACGAAATCGCGAAATCAATTGGTAATTGGTAACGCGTATAAACCAAGGACTGGAACCGTTTGAATTTATCGGTATCGGTTCCGGTACTGGTTCTCAGAAAATAAAATAACTGTTCCGGTTCGGTTTCGGTTCTATGATGAAAATTAATAAAGGTTATATAAAGGTTAATAAAGATAATTTCGGTACCGGTTCCTGTTATCAGTAAAATATAATATTATTTCTTATCAATGAAAAAAAAAATAGTGATTATTCTATAATATACCATCATACACTTATTAGTGAAGTATAGTAGTAAACGAAAAATTATTTTAATATTTATTGCTGACAATCAACGGGGACGGGTACAGTCTTCCCGATTTTGATAACGATTGATAACAATTAACATGATAAGAACCAAAAAAAAAGAAGCTAATGCCAACCTCCAAAATGTAAATAAAATCCCAAATCCCGTTTCGTTTTCCAGCATAAAAATTAATAAATAAATAATTGATAGTAATTTTTCGAAAAATGTATACTGAGAAATTTTGTCTTCTATTAAATAAAACCCTGTTTAGTTAACTTTTAATCAGTGAAGTTAGATTTTTATCGTATATTATTTTAATTTAATTAATTGATCATACTTCAATAATTTATATCATGGTTTATTCATAGATATTATAAGATCTTATAATATCTATGGGTTTATTTATACTATGTACTATAATTTATCATACATTTTAGATATTAATATTTGATTCTACTAATGTCTTATAGTATTAATCAATACATATCTTTAAATTATATATTGTATTTTTTTATTAGTACTATACAAGTTTTAAATGAATGTTATATATATGTATATATAATGGTCATAAATATAAAACTAGTTGTGTAGACCATAGAGTAAGAATGACACAGATTTTCATACATTTTTTTATTTGATTTGTTAGGTAAGTGTATATATTTTAGACTGGTAGCTCAAGACTTACCAAATTTTTTGTTTAGCTGCTTTACAGTTCAGAAATGTATTTTACTTAAAACTTAATAAAGGTATTTTTTTTAAATTCTGCATATTTTTCA